CCTGCTGCCTCAGCCCCGTGGCCACACCCTGTCCCGGCCTCCTCACCCTCCACGGCCCCGTCCGTTTCCCCCATAGCCCATTGTGATTTGTAGTGATTTATTTGCTTCTTGTCCTTATAGGCTGTGAGCTCCATGAGGGCAAGGGCTCCGCTGTCTGCCCGCTGCTGTGCTCGGGTCCGGCCTGGTCCCTGCACACAGTGGCCCCTCAGGGAGTGCTTGCTGAGTGGATGTCTTCGTCACTCACCTTTGCTCATCTCTGCCTCCTTGTTCTGACGTTCTGTCTCCATCTCCCTTTGCAGACTGGTTTGTGTTCTTATTTCATCCACAGATTGAAAATATAATGACCAATAGCTTCTGAGTTACATGCTTCAGATCCCGACAGTTCAGATTCCTGGCTCAGCTTGGGTCACTGGTCCACAGCGGTCCCATCACCTGTGGCTGGGAGGGCAGGGATGGTGGGCAGGGCCGTATACAAGGCTCTGGTGGTGCCCTGTGTGATGGTGGTGGCTGTGGGGAGGGAGAGGGCACATGGCTGAGCAGACATCCTGCTGGGACGGCCCTGTGACTTGCTGCTAGCCTCATAGCTGGCATGCTCTCGCTGCCGGGCACAAGGATGTGGAATGAGAAGTCTACTGTCCCTGTCCCCAAAGTACCTGCAGCCCACCGAGGGCGCCAGGTGGACCAACCAGCGATGAATTGGTGAGCCACTTGGAATTAGGCACTTCGGATACAGCAGTGGGTAGTACGAACAACAACCAAAGCAGAAACGAGACACCCCACTGTCATGAAGCTGAACGAGAAACAAGATAAATCAATAAAATAGGGGGTATGTTACAGTTGAGATATGAAGAAATACCTTAAATATTGAGAAAATTGAGATATGAAAATATGAATGTGAAACGGTTCAGTTTCAATATGAAAATGTTACAAGATGAGGGATGTCACAAATGAATCAGTAAAGGAAGATGGGGATGGTCATGGAAGAGAAACCCGCCAGCAGAGCATGGAAGGAAGGGCACCCCAGGCCCCAGAGCAGCAAGTGCAAAGGCCCGGAGGTGGCATGAGTGTGCTATGTCCCTGGGGTGGAGAGAGGGGGGCGAGGGTCACGCCTGAGCACAGGAGGTAACGGGGAGGGTCCCATCAGCCATTGACAGGTGGTCACGGCTTGCTGTGGGTGGAGACAAGGCCAGAGCAGTCGCTGGGGGCAGGGTGCGGAAAGCCTTCTGTGAACTCTTTGATATTATGTTACTTACATGTTATCATTTTCCTTTCTCTGTTTGTATTCTTTCTATTTTAAGGAATATTATCTCAGGCTGGCTTAACTGGACCTATCCTTGGATTGTCCCCGAGAGTGTCAGGGAGGTCAAAACACTAGGATTTGAGGGGTGCTTCCCCAGTGGCCGTGGCAGAGCAGGGTCCGCTGCTGGGTCACCTGCACACACCCTCAGCCTCTTCTCTCAGGGGACCACTTTTCGGGCGCTTGCCGCCCAGAGTCTGAGCCCATCCTGGCAGCAGGTGGAGGTTGCCTCCCCATTTTTCTAGTGGGGACACACTGAGCAGCAGGGAAGAATGAACCCCGGGCCTCACAGGTGAGCTGGCCGGGGCTGCAGGAGAGCACCCCTCCGCTGCCACACTGGTGCTTCCCGGGGCCGCCACCCTGCGGGACCAGGCTTTATGCGTGTGGTTCATATGTGCCCCTTTTGCTGTTGGAATTTCTTTGTTCCCTTTGGGGAAATCATGCCATGTCCTTATTAGCCAAGAGGATTCTTACGGACCCGAGTCAGAGCTTTGGGGTCCAAATCCAGGCTCTGCCACCGACTGCTTCACAACCTGGCAAGTTGCTCAGCTTCGTGTTTCTAGTCCCTCATCCATAAGAGGGGTGCCCTGCCTTGCCTCCCTAGGTTCTGGGCAGCGCGAGGAGATCAGACACGCCATGTCTTGGCACAGCTGCTGACGGCCAGCAGCTCGCTACATAGAGCTAGCCGGGCACATTGTGTGCAAAATGAATTAAGTTTTTTAAAACGTCCACCTCATTTTTTCTTTGTCATCATTCCCTTCTTTTCCTGGGCTGCTCTATGACTCACATCCAATACAGCCATTTGCTGTGCACCTACCAGCCCTTTGAGGTCACTCTAACCTCGGGTAAATACTGTGTTTTCTAGACAATTCTCCCTGTGATTCTCAGGAGTATCTTGATAGAAAACAGTCTGATAGTCTCAAATCGTTACATTTTTATGATTAGTCATGCATCTCTGTTGCATTATTTTAATTAGGCAGCAAAAGATTATGTCAAGCGCTCTCCCAGCCTGTTTGGTGGGGGGGGCGTCATTGGTCGCTGAAAACATTTGTAATATTTATTGCCTGCGCTCTGACGCCTCATAAGGGATGGCTTTTAAGAGCTGCCTTCTTTCCTTGTCTCTGGCGAGCCCTGGGAGTATGTTCATAAAAGGTTGACTGTGGACCTCAAACGAGGTGATGCCATTTATTCATTTCAGGCACTAATCATTTTTAGCTTAATCTCCTACTCTTTGATCCAAGTGTATTGGTAGTGAGTGAAAATATTTATCAACGTGGATATCAGCTTTCCTCCCCGCATGGTGCCAGTGGGGAACCTAGACACCATTCTGCTCAGGCTGCCTGGCACAGTCATGATGTATTTAGGCGAGTCACACACCAGTGGAGAAGTATGGGTGTCCGAGTTTATACACGAGATGTGTAGCCATGCATAGCCCTTCTGTTTGAAAAAGATGGTACTGTGTTCAAGGGAAGGTGTTAACTGCGCTCTAATTATGACTTTTCTGCCTTACACATGAAAAAGTGTTCCTCATACTTTGGACTTGCAGAATTAGTAGAATCTAGAGTTTGGGGGTCCTTCGCCTGGAATGATAGGTACAATTGCAGTATTAACATGTTTATATTATTGTTTCCGTTTTGCTGCTGCTATGGAGAGCATTGGTCAAGTAAGATGTACAAAGTTTCCTTTTTGCTTCTTGCCCAGCTCAGTTTAGTAGAATGCACAGAATATGTTCAGTGTGTGCCAGGCGCTCAGGCACTAGGAGTGCCAAGATGACTTAAGACATGGTTCCTGCCGATGGGAGGCCAATGGCAGGTCATGACCATGCTGCAGGGCCAGGGCGTGGACAGAGTGTGTGAGAGTGTGTGTGGGAGCTTCAGGGGGCTGGCTCTTAGCCCGCTTGTACCAGAGGTGTTGTTCAACTGGAGTTTTGAGTTAAAGTGGAGAATGCCCACATGCCAAGAAGCAGTGCATCTCAGGCATGGAAGGTGTTAGCAGAGGCTCAGGGCTCTTGGGCTGCAAGGGCAAAACAGGGAGTCAGAGAGAGGGATCGATTTTGGGTGCCTTCCATGCCATGCTTTGGAACTTCAACTTTGATCTGTATTTGGAGTCATTGGTGGGCTGTGCAGCAAGGGCTGTGGACGAGTTTGTGTGTTAGATCAAGGATGGAGGATGGGGCATCAGGATGGATGGATGATGGATGGAGGGGGGGTGCAGTGGGTGGGTGATAGATGGATGGGAGGGTTGCCTGAAAGAAAGGAAACCAATTCATTTGAGCAATGGCTTTTGCCGTTGTCCAGGAAAGAAATGAGGAGGGCCTTAACCAGTGTGGAGGTTTTAGAAACAGAGAGAAATAGAAAAATACTGGGAGTTGAAATCAGGTGCTTAAAAAATAAGGTGAGTGAAGTTGGGGTCATGGAGATGTTGAGGAAGGCTCCTGGGTCTCTGACTTAGGCGATCAGGTGGGTGATAAACTAGGAATGCTGGAGGTGGAACCCATGTGATGGGTAGGGAAAGAGTCCAAATTAGGACATTTGGGACAGCTAAGCAGTAGTCCAGCAGACAGTTGAAAACTCAAATCTCAAGTTTAGGGAAGGGTAGAAGGTGTAATAGTATGCGTAGAAGGTGTAGATTTTGACCTCAAAGGTTTACATGCAAGGATGCCTGTAGAAGAAGAGCGGGTGTGTGGGCTGGAGCAGTCTGGGACCTCAGTGTGTAAAAGCTGTAGATGGGAGAGAGTGTTTCCGGGATACACAGAACGAATAGAGAGGCACGGAGAGGCAGTAGTGGCGTGGCGTCAGAGGAGCAGAGGGTTTCCCAAGCGCGGTGTTAGCAGAGCCACGTGCGGTAGAGTCCTGTCAAATAAGGACTGAAGTCTGTCATTGGCTTGGCGTCATGGAGGTCCCTGGTTACCTTGGCGAGACAGGTTATGGGGCAAGCTGGTGTCACCTGCCAGTTTTGGGGTGGGCTCAGGAGTGGATAGAAAAGGAGCATGGAGGCTGCAGAGGCGGACAGCTTTTTCACCCAGCTCGTCTGGGAAGGAAAGGTGTGAGAGGTTCCCAGAGGGAGCCAGTGTTTCTGTGGCACCACGTGCAGTGACTGGTCATTGCTGCCTCCGGAGGCTTAGAGCCATTAGAAGCTGCATGGTGAGCATCGCTGCTGTGAGAAGTAGCCATATTTTTATTTGGTTGCACGTTTGTATTATTGCAAGTTGAGGTTTTATTTTTGCTCCTCAGGGGTAAAAAATGTAGCCTGCCCCATATATCCATTGATTTAACATGTGGGCTTGTTTATCACATTACTGAATGTTTATAAATTGCTGAAACATTAATCCTCTCAAAAGACCCACGTTTCACACTTCTCTGTCGTTTTCTCTCTAGCATCTCCTGAAATCTGCCTTTTAACACTCCTTCGAGTTCCAAGACACAGATTTCTCTTGCTGAAGGGCGTTCTGCAGGTGCTGTTGGCTCTCGGGATGGTGTCCACACTCCTAGGGAGACACTGGGGCCCCTGGCGTCCGGCCCCCCAGCCTCCCCTGGGCTAGACGGAGCATGCTGCCTTGCGGCTGTGCACTTCCTTGCCGGTTCCCCCTGACGTTCTGGACACCCCCGACGGCACGGGGCCTCTTCGTGCCTTCATGCACGCTCCACTCACACGCAGGGGCTGCGAGCCTGATGGTGCTCACCTTCTTCTCCCTTCTTTTCAGGGAAGCAGTTCAAGTGCACGGTGTGTGACTACACAGCAGCCCAGAAGCCACAGCTGCTGCGGCACATGGAGCAGCACGCCTCCTTCAAGGTAAGTGGGCTCGGCGCTGGAGCGGGTATTCAAGTCGGAAGCGCACCGCTCTTCAAAATAAAGATGGAGGGAACCTCCTTTCGTTGTTTTGGAGCGTCCCCTTCCCTTCTGGGCCTGCTCAGCCAGTGCACGTGGAGTCTGGGGCGTGGCTCGGCTGACTGCATGCCCTCTCCTTCTGCAAGTGTAGCGCTTCTCTGTACTTTGGGGACCAAGTCCAGGAACAGAGTGTAAGAGGACGCAGACTAGAGAAAGGCACCCTCTCACCGTAAAAAAATGGAGTGATTTAGAGCAAAGAGTACGTGCTTTAAGGACAAGTGTGTGCTGTCAGATCATGGATTGTCTCAGGTGAACCCCTGATACGGCAGGTGTGATGATGCCAGGTTGGCAGGCGCTTGTAAGAGCTGGAAATGGCGGTCATGTGCCCGCCACGGTGCTAGCGTGTAACAGGGGCTCGGGAGACCGTGGCTTTCCTTATTCTTTTAATACCTCCAGTTGATGTAGATGGTAATATCCCCTTGGCCACTGCTTATGGTGCAGTTATTGACAGCAAGAACCCTGGTCCAGTGAATTTGTTTAATAATAAATTCTGCTCAGCCCTCAGCAACTGGACCCTTAAAATCGATGCTCTTGCTGCTGGCACGTGCATGTGAAGGTGGGAACACGATGCTCTGAGATGTTTGTTGAAATCGTGTCCACTGCTAAGTCCCAGAGGGCGGTAGGCAGAATGTGGAAGGACCCTGGGCCACCACACTCAGAGGTGCATTTATATTTATTGAGCTTCTACTGTGTCCCTGCACTGTGCCAGGAGCTTCACCCCCCTCAACTCTGATCTCCACACAGTAGATATCATTGCCCAGATTGGACAGCTGAACAACCTGCATCTCACATAAGTTAAGTGACCCCCACGAATCTTTCCTCGATGCCCATATCCACGGGCTTTAGTCGCCGTTATAATAGTGGCCAGCCTATGCCGTTTGTCACCCCTTCTGAGGTACGAGGACCCTCCCTGATGACAAGCTCATCTGATGCTCAGAACAGCCTTGGGATGAAGTGACTTGAAGCCTCATGATCTCTCCTCTTGTAGTTAAGAAACCAGGTGGCTCGGGGGGTATGAGGGCTCATGCGCTTTGACTATCCAGGAGGTGAGGGAGTGAGAACTGGGGCTTTGCCTCCGAGCCCTAGGTCTGAGCGTCTCTTACCAGATCTTCTCAGTCCCTCACTGACGCAGAAAGGGGGCAGTTGGGGAACCTGAGGCTGCTGTGCCTGTCGCTTCTGTAGCTGCTTTCAGGTCTGCACCGAACACGAGTTTCTCAGGTGAGACCCACGTGTCACCCAGCAGGAGTGCAAAGTGTCTCAACTGGGATGTTCCATGTTTGCATACTTTGCACATAATTAAAATTAAGAGCTTAATGTCGCATCCCACCTCTCATAGATGTGTTTCTCTGGGGGACTCTGGATTTTCTTAGACTAGTGCAATTGTAGGACTAGAGGATGCAGAGTTAGGGCAACTCTCACTTTATAGATGAGAAACGTAGACCCAGGGAGGTTGATTTCTGTCCTCGCTGTTTCAGAATCGGAGCTAGACTTCTCATTCATTCCTCAGTTTCCGTGTGGAGCATCTTCCCTTCCTAACCAGACACAGCACACAGTCTCTCTGCCCTGAAGTCCTCATTGACTTGTTCCTCAGATTTGTGGAATCTTTGGTTTGTGTGCAGAAGTGCATTTGGGGGTGATTTGATTGAAGGTGTCCCTCTCACGTGTGGTTCTCAGCTTTTTCCTGCCATCACATGGTTGTACTCTGGGGCCTCGGGAGCCCGACTAAGCTTGGCCCTGGGTCATGGCCGGTTTCCCACGGCCTCTCTGTGGATGTAGGGGTCCCCCTGCTGAGCGGTGCCCCAGCTGCGGATGAGATTCAGCCTGAATGAGAACCACTAATTCAACCCTGGGCTTCTCCCTTCCTCCAGATCGGGATGCTCTTCTTGTACACATGCGTGTAAGTCGTGCTTCTCGGTTAACTGGGGCTGATGAGGCAAAATGAAATTGATTCCTGCCAGCCACCCTCATCCTAACTGTAATTGCCCTTTCCCTTTCCTCTGTGTCCACCTCTGTAGTAGTTTTCCATTACTGTTGTGATAAATTACTCCAGCTTTGTAACTTAAACAGCACAAGTTTATTGTCTTATAGTTCTGTGGTTCAGAATTCCAGCACAGGTCGCACTGAGCTAACACGCAGGTGACGTGTTCTTTCTGGAGAGGCTCTAAGAGAAAATCCATTTCCTTGCTCTTCTCTGGCTCCTACAGGCCGTCCGCACTCCTCGGCTCGTGGCCCCTTCGTCTTGTCTTCAAAGCCAGGTGAGCATCCCTCATCTCTCTCCTCCTCTGACTCACCTCTTCTGCTTTCCTCTTCCAGTTTGAATGGACCCTGTGATTACAGCACACCCACTTGGATGACCCAGGACAATGTCCTTATCTTAAAGTCAGAGGATCAATAACCTTAATTCTAGCTGTAGTCTTAATTCCTTTTTGCCACATAAGGTTCCAGGGATTAGGACATGGTCATCTTTGGGGAGGGCATTTTTCTGCCCACTGCATTCCCTCACTCTTTTTTCTTCCTTTCACATCTATCTGTGTGGTAGAAATTTTCATCCGTATCAGAAAATATGCAGTATGCATCTCCTGCATTCCCTTTTCCTACCCAGAGCAAACATTATGAAGAAATCAAGCGTCACTATTTTACTGATCCGAGATGAGACTTCAACATCTTGGGCAAATACTGCTAATCCATTGCAGTTGGCTTCCTAGAGGAAACCAGTTTGCCTTTCCAGATCTGGATATGTAATTTTCAATATATAATTTGTGTCAGGAAACACTGTAATAAAGGCAAACTCCTGTATTGCCTTTTAAAATTACATGGTGTCATTCATGTGTTTATTTTAAGAATAAAATTAAAATGTATTCACTAAATAAGATTTGGAAATGCTTTTTGGTTCTTTCCTTGGGGGAATTTTTGGATATATTTTTAGACATGGTTGAGGTCACACTGTAAGTGAGCATTTTTTTTTTTGATGGAGATTAAAATGTCAGCTTTATCAGTGATGAAGCTCTACTGGAAAATATGGCTTAGATGAGTGGCCAGATGGTTTGCTGAGAATACTTCACTTCTGAGTTAGAATAACCTCACAGTGAAAGGCCAGACGGGGGCACCTACATACTTTAGGCATTATAAATATTGCCTTTTTTCTTTATCCTCATTTCATAGGCCTTTTTTCATTTTATGAAAATACATTTATTAACTACTTTTAATGGCTGCATAAGGATGAGTATCATAGTTTAACATTCCCCTCATAATTGGGCAGTTTAGTCGTTTCCAGTTTTTGCTGTTATAAAGAACCCTACAGTGGACATCATACCAAAAGCATTTCCATGTCACCCTAAAATCCAAAGACTATGAAACACTGGGCAAAGCCCACCAAACCACTGAGCGTTCACAAACAGTGAAGGTGTTATATGTGCTTCTTAAATAACATGCATTCCCTAGGGTGGGGTTGACACAATCGACCTTAAAGATGTGCCAGAGAAGATGCTCGGACGAGAGGAGCCAGTGCTGAGCCAGGAGTCTCTAAACAGGAGCAGTCTTGTTCCCTTGGCCCAGCTGTTCAGCCCTCTGCTTCTTGCACATAAACAAGCCGCATGCCGTTCTGTAAGCAATGTGATCACCAGGCAGACTCACTTGTGGAGTTTTCTCCATTAGGCTCATATGAACCCATAACTCTGCTGATAGAAATGTTCTCAGTCATAGGGCTGGTGGATTCTGTGCCAGTCTCCTTGTACATCAATAATAAAAAGTGGCTTTATTTAATTTAAAAACATTTTGAAATAATTTTAGACTCACAAAAAGTCTCGGAGTTCCTGTGTACCTAGCACCCACCTTCCCTTGGTGATAACATCTTTAGCTATAGTATATTGTCAAAAGTAGGAAATGGACTTTGTGACACTATTAACTAAACTGTAGACCTTATTTGGATTTTACCAGTCTTATCTATTTTTTTAAATTTAGAAACTATTTTTAAAAGTAGTTTTAGGGGAATTGCATGGTGGTCCAGTGGTTAGGACTTGGTGCTTTCACTGTGAGAGGTCCGGGTTCAATCACTGGTTGGGGAGCTAAGATCCCACAAGCCATGCGGCACTGCTGAAAAAAAAACCAACAAAAAAAACCCCCCAAACTACTTTTAGGTTCATAGCAAAATTGGGAGGAAAATATAGAGACTTCCTATATACCACCTGGCTCCACTCCCCCTCCACATACAGCCTCCCCCATTTTCAACATCCCTACCAGTGTGGTACATTTGTTACAATTGATGAACCTATGTTGATATATCATAATCACCTGAAGCCCATAGTTAGTATTTGGGTTCACTCTTGGTGTTGTACATTCTACGGGTTTGGACAAATGTATAATGACATATATCCACAATTACAGTATCATACAGAATAGTTATACTGCCCCCAAGATCCTCTTTGCTCTGCCTATTAATCCCTCTCTTCCCTCTGCCTCCTGGCAACTTCTGATCTTTCTGCTGTCTCCATAGTTTTGCCTTTCCCAGAATGTCATACAGTAGGAATTGTACAGTATGTAGCCCTTTTAGATTGGCTTCTTTCACTTAGTAATTGCATTTAAGGTTTCTCCGTGTCTTTTCATGGCTTGATAGCTCATTTCTTTTTAACACTGAATAATATTCCATTGTCTGGATGGACCACAGTTTATGCATTTATCTACTAAAGGACATCTTAGTTGCTTCTAAGTTTTGGCAATTATGAATAAGGCTGCTGTAAACATCCATTTGCAGGTTTCTGTGTGGTCATACGTTCTCAGCTCCTCTGGGTAAATGCCAAGGAGTGAGATGGCGAGATTGTATGGTAAGAGTATGTTTAGTTTTGTAAGAAACCCCCAAACTCTCTTCCAAAGTGACCATGCCTTTTGTACCACGGTAGCTGTGCCATTTGGAAGTTCATTGAGATTCTGTTTGGCACTTGAAAATTTCTGAGAGCAATGAGATCTTGCAGAAAAACACAGGCTTTTAGAACAAGACAGACTCAGGTTTAGAACTAGACAGACTGTGCCACTTACAGGCTGTGTTATTTAACTTCTTTATACAATTTTATTGTTTGTAAAATGTTGATGGCAATATCTGTCTCCTGGTATTGAAGATATTAAAGGCAATATCACTTTTATGAGAAGTGGATCTGGTACATGGTAGATGATCAAAAAATGTTGGCTCTCTTTTCCCTCCCCTGTCTCTTAAAAATGACTCCAATTCCTAAAAGAACCAAAGCAAGGATTATAAACCAGTCTAATCATGCTTTCAATTTATGTTTGTAAATCACTCATTCTAAATATTTCCCAGGTGTTGTGTTTTCCTTATATATATTTTTAGATGTTGGTGTTGTTTTACTTTTGTTGTTGCTTATGGCTTTGGAGTTAGGCAGATAAGGATCAAAATCTTAATGCCACTACTTACTAACTAGCTGATCTTTGGGGATTTTGATCCTTCGCCTTTTTGGGCCATTGTCTCCTTATTTGAAACTTGGGAACAATGATACCATTATTTCAAGGGCTACATTAAGAAGGAGAGGTTGATTTGAGGGAGCAGATTAGAAGGAATGTGCCCCCATTGCTTTGGACAGACCTGGACCATCAGCCCTGTGCAGGCCAGCTCCAGCGAGGAGGTGCTGTGAGGGCCTCAGGTTTGCTCTCTTGGTAACAAGAGCTGGGGGGCTTTCTTTTTAATGGGAGCAGCTCTGGCCTCCTGCCACCCTTCCCATCAGATTAATTCTTCTCTTTCCGTAAACCTGGAGGCCAGACCAGCATCCTTGACTATACCACATTCCCATGTGGCTCTGAGGCAGAGCCTCTACAAATCATAATCTGCCAGCCACTGCACTGGGTTTTGAACTGTGTGAAGGAAAGGTCCTATCTGAGTTTTTATATAAAGTGTGTTCTTGTAAATAGCACATAGCTGGATCTTGTTGTTGCCTGTATATGTGTGTGTGTGTGTGTGTGTGTGTGTGTGTGTGTGTCCACGTGCCCGCACACAACCAGTCTGACAATCACTGCTCTTTAATTGGAGTGTTTAGTCCATTTACATTTAATGTAATTTTTGACATGTCTCACTTGAAAAGTATGGTCTTGGTGTTTATTTTCTCTGTCATGTCAGTTCTTTGATCCTGTCTCCTCCTCTTCTGGCTTCTTTTGGGTGAATCAGGTGGTTTTTAGTATTCCATTAGACTTTTTCCCCTGAGAGTAGAGCTTTTCTTTTTCAGGTAAATTTTAAATTTTAGAACAGTTGTAGAATTACAGAAAAATTGTTATGGTAATATGGAGAGTTTCCGTGTTCCACATACCCAGTTTCTCCTGTTGTTAGCATCTAACATTTACAATAGTACCTTTGCTACAACTAATGAACCAATATTAATACATCATTAACTAAAGTCCATATTTTATTAAGATTTCCTTAGATTTTACCTAATGTCCTTTTCCTGTTCTAGGATCCCATTAGGGTCCCATATTACATTTAGTCATGATGTCTTCTTAGGCTGCTTTTGGATCTGACAGTTTCTCAGACTTTCTCTGTTTTTGATGACCTTGGCAGTTTTGAGGAGTACTGATGAGGTATTTTATTGTATAGCCCTCAATTAGGATTTGTTTGCTTTTTTATTTTTAAATAAATTTATTTATTGTATTTATTTATTTTTGGCTGCATTGGGTCTTCGTTGCTGCACACGGGCTTTCTCTAGTTGCAGCGAGTGGGGGCTACTCTTCGTTGTGGTGCATGTGCTTTTCATTGCAGTGGATGCTCTTACCTTCTCTTGTTGCGGAGCATGGGCTCTAGGTGTGTGGGCTTCAGTAGTTGTGGCACACGGGCTCAGTAGTTGTGGCACATGGGCTTAGTTGCTCCATGGCATGTGGGATCTTCCCGGACCAGAGCTCAAACCCGTGTCCCTTGCATTGGCAGGTGGATTCTTTACCACTGTGCCACCAGGGAAGTCCCTGTTTGCTTTTTTTTTTTTTTTTTCTGTTTGCTTTTTAACTATACTTTGTTTGTTGTTGTTGTTTTTCTTTTTTCTTTTTAGTTATTGCTGTGGACATCACACTATGCATCTGTATTTTAACACATTCTAGCTAGCTGCAAATATACTGTTTCATGAACAATGGAAGAACCATGAATCATTATAGTTCACGTTACACCCCTCCTACCCTTTGGGTTCTTGTTGTCATGCATATCACTTCTCTTTGTGTTCTAAACTCCTCAATATAGTGTTATTTTTTGGTTTAGTCAGTATTTAAAATATAT